CTACTCCAGTCCCTACACCCCCTCCCTATCTGTCACCTCCTCCAGCCTCTACACCCCCTCCCTATCTGTCACCTCCTCCAGTCCCAACACCCCTCCCTATCTCTGTCACCTCCTCCAGTCCCAACATCCCTCCCTATCTGTCATATCTACTCCAGTCCCTACACCCCCTCCCTATCTGTCACCTCCTCCAGCCCCAACACCCCCTCCCTATCTGTCACCTCCTCCAGTCCAACACCCCACCCTATCTCTGTAACCTCCTCCAAGCCCTACACCCCCTCCCTATCTGTCACCTCTTCCAGTCCCAACACTCCTCCCTATCTCTGACACATCATCCAGCCCCTATACCTCCTCTCTATCTCTGACACATCCTCCAGCCCCTACTCCCCTCCCTATCTCTGACACATCCTCCAGCCCTGCTCCCCTCCCTATCTCTAATCTCCAGCAACGTCTGCAGCCCTCTCTATCTCTGCTATTTCCTCCAGTCGCTACATCTCTCCCAATCTCTGTCATCTCATCCAGCCCCTACACCCCTCGCTATCTCTGTAAACTCCTCCAGCCCCTACACCCTCCCTTATCTGTCAGCCCTCCAGCGCCTACACCCCTCCCTATCTCCGGCATTTCCTCTGGTCTCTACACCCTCCCTATCTCTGTAACTTCCTCCAGCCCCTACACCTCCTTATCTGTCACCCCTCCAGCTTCTACAACCCTCCCTATCTCTGTAACCTCCTCCAGTCTCTACACCCCACCATTCCTATGTCACCTCATCCTGCCCCTACATCCCTCCCTATCTCTGTAACCTCCTCCAGTCTCTACACCCCTCCATTCTTTTGTCACCTCATCCTGCCCCTACATCCTTCCCTATCTCTGTAACCTCCTCCAGCCCTTACACCCCTTCCTATCATCTGTAACCTTCTTCAGCCCCTACACCCCCCTCTATCTCTGCAACCTCCTCCAGCCTGTATACCCCTCCCTATCTCTCTAACCTCCTTCAGCCTCTCCACTCCTCCCTATCGCTGTGACCTCTCCCAACCCCTACAGTTCTGTGTACTCCTCCAATTTTGCCCATTCCACTCTCCTGGTTTTCATCACTTCATTATTGGTGGAATTGCATCATCTGTCTGTTCCCTTTTCTCTGGGGGTCTCTCTCTAAATCTGTCTGCCATATGCCCTATGTCAACTCACTGTGGCAATGCTCTAGCCATCTGTCCCAAAACATCCTTTGAACATTCAGTGTTAAAGCTTGCTTGATTATGGTCATGTGAAGAACCTTGGAATGTTTTACTACCTTCTTTGACAGATTTCTGTGTCATGAGATGAAGACTTATGCTTTAGTGGGCAACTCTGTTTAAAAATTGCTTGGATGGGCGAGAGAGCACCATCCTGGCAGAGCTGCCTCAAAGAACAAAAAAAATTACAGCACAGGAACAGGCCTTTGGCCCTCCAAGCCTGCACTGACACATTTTGCCCTTCCCTATTAAAATTGTCTTCACTTACAGGATCCGTATCCCTCTATTCCCTTCCTATTCATGTACTTATCCAGATGTGTCTTGAATTGTGTCAGCTTCCACCACCTCCTCTGGCAACATGTCCCAGGCATTCACTACTCTTTGTGAGAAAAACCTGCCTCACACATCTCTTTTAAATTTCCCCCCACCTCCACACATTGAACCTGTGTCCTCTAGTAATTGACACCTCCGCCCTGGGAAAAAGCTCATATTTCCACTCTATCCATGTCATTCACAATCTTATAAACTTCTATCAGGTCGCCCCCTCCACCTCCTGTGTTCCAGTGAAAACAAACACAGTCTATCCAACTTTTCTTCATAGCTAAAATCCCCCATACCAGGCAACATCCTGGTAAACCTTTTCTGTACCTTCTCTAAAGCATCCACATCCTTCTGGTGGTGACCAGAACTGTACGCAATATTCCAAGTATGGTCTAACTAAAGTTCTATAAAGCTGCAGCATAACTTGCTTATCCTTATACTCACTGCCCCTTCCAATGAAGGCAAGCATGCCACTGACCTTTTTTAACCATCTTATCTACCTGCGCTGCCACCTGCAGTGATCTCTAGACCTGCACACACAGATCCCTCTGCATATCAATACTCCTACCCCACTGTATAATTTCCACCTGTACTTGATCTTCCAAAATGCATCACCTGACATTTGTCTAGATTAAACTCCATCTGCCATTTTTCTGCCCATGCCTCCAACTGACCTATATCCTGATGCTTCCTCCTCACCATCCGCAACTCCACCAATCTTTGTATCATCCACAAACTTACTAATTAGACCACTTGCTGCAGATGTCACAGTGTCCTGAGATAC